TTCTATATCACTGTGCTCACAAAACTGATATAATGTCTATAAAAGAGTACAAAACACCCACTTTAAAGCTAATGGACGGTGTACAAGCATTAGAAATTGTCTAAAATATACAAGAAAGACAATGCAACCTGACTTTCAACAACCTATATATCAGCAGACATGTTAAAAATGCTAAACAAATATCTCCATATACCATCATGTACAGACTGCAGCCTGATGCCCTAGTTTCTATATCACTGTGCTTACAAAAACTGGTATTATGTCAATAAAAGAGTACAAAACACCCACTTTAAAGCTAATGGACGGTGTACACGCATTGGAAATGGTCTAAAATATACAAGAAAGACAATGCAACCTGACTTTCAACAACCTATATATCAGCAGACATGCTAAAAATGCTAAACAAATATCTCCATATACCATCATGTACAGACTGCCACCTGATGCCCTAATTTCTATATCACTGTGTTCCCAAAAAGTGTAAAAAGCCATTTTTGCGAGCTTGTTTTGCCGCGCACAGAGAAAAGTGTCATGTATTTTACGTCATAAATTTACCCCATGCTCGGCTCTCGCGATCGGCATTTTTAGAGAGCACCGATCGATCGGCAGAGAGTGAGTATCACAGGGTCAAATACAACCACTTTAAAGCTTATGGGAGATGTGAAAACATTGGAAGTTGTGTAAAATATACAAGAAAGCCAATGCAACTTCACTTTCAAATAAGCCAATAAAGTTTCACATTTGCACGTGAAAAGCATACCATTCAAACATATATTGAAAAAATTCAATATAAGTAACGTCAACACATGTTAACAAGATACTTTAAATAGGAACTAGGAGTATAATGAACCACAAATGTGAACATTAAATACTAATTGGACTATATATTAGGTTATATAATCAGACATCACCAAAAAATTGCTATCCAATATCCCTAAATGCTCATTATTTAAAAATACATCACATATTGTAGTACATCTCATTGTCCACCAGATGGCGTCAAAACGCTGCTACAGCTCCCCACTGTACAGACTGCCGTTCAAATTCAATGTGGTCACAAAAAGCGATATAATTTCTGTAAAAGGGTCAAACAAACCAACTGTATGGTCTTATAAATAGTCCAATTATATATTAGCAGACATACTAGAACTGAAATACCATAACAATTCTTTATTTTTGCTAAACTGGTAAAACAAAGTATGACAAAGGTATCCAGAATTAAACTTCAAAACGGCCCATTCAGACTGAAAGCACTGTAAAAAGGCATTAAAGTCAATATTTGCCCGTGAAAAGATCAAATATAGCGAAAAAACGAAATATAATTAACGTTAACCCGGGCCTCTAACTGGCCTTTAATTAATTTCCAACGAACTGCCGCAAAATATATGATTTACTTTCCTTAAAATGGTAAAACAAACCCCACCGTAAACTTAAAAGACGTTAAATATAATAATACATAATGTCAATTCAGCTTCAAGACACCAGGGGTCCTATTAGCTCTGAAGCTAGCTGCTAGCCACTTAGCAAAGCCCCGAATTAGCAAGCTATCTTCTTATACACGGTTTTATATCGACAAAAACCAACGAAGTCACAAAAGCAACACATTTACATAAGCGTTTAGTTAATAGTAATAAATAAAGGAACTCACCGAAAAGTCGAAACACCTTTCTCTGTTGTTCCTCCATCGATGTCTCATTTCCAATTGTCCGGAGTTAGTTAAAGTCCTTCTGAATGTCCGGTTAATCCCCCGGAATGAGTTTTTAAATACCGAGAATACATATCTCGAAACGTTAACTTGTTCCGAAGTATTTAAAAAACTATAACTTATTAATAAATGTGTAATAAAACGCTAATAACTGCGGATTTAAAGAACCACTGTCGTCTCACTGTCGTCGTCTCACTGTCGCCGAACATCAGATTGCCAATTGAGCAGCAGCCAATGAGAAGGCAGAGAATGAGCACGAGCTGGTGTTCACGTGCACACAGAAGGTGAAAACAAGTGTGCTGTGTGCAAAACATCATGCCACACAAAAAAACATGTTTTAATACTATATATATTACTATAAAATACAATAAGCAACATTTAGCTAATGTATTTTATATAACATGCTAAATATCCTGCACTGTTTTATTTCTACTCTACTCTATTTTGTTTTTTAAAATGTATTTTATTGTTTATTTCTTATTTATATATATATATTTAGCATGGTTGGAGGAGCCTGGGTTTTAAGATTATCATTGCCATAACTACACAGCAGCATAAATAACATTAATATTAATAATATGTGCACTATATGCAAACAAGATCCTTATTATCTGTATATATATGTACATGCACCTGTTCCGAGTTTAATTCATGTGTACTATCTGTGCTATGACACCTGAATTTCACACAAGACTTTAAATGAAGTACTTATACTTGCAGCAGAGTATTATTACACTGTTGTATTTCAACTTTTACTAAGATATCTGAGTGCTTCTTCCACCTCTGAGTATGTTAACCTGCTTTAACCTCATCAAGTAGATAAGTCAAGTCTCTATTCACATGAATATAGACTCCTGCATTTACTGGTCACTTACATTATTCTCTGCAAGATTTAGCATTTTATTTGACATGTTTATAGTTTACTTTAACAGGCTTAGACTGTCGGGGGACACCTTACTTCTTCCTTCTGTCTGTCTGTACCTGTGTACTCTCATGTTCCGAATAACCCACCTTCCCCCAAATGTCTTTTTGGTGTCTATCTACCCCGGGATCCTGAGTCGTGGCTGATCCTGAGTCCTGATCTGAGTCCTGGATCCTGAGTCGTGCTGATCCTGTTGCTGCGGTCCTGTGTCCTGGATCCTGAGTCCTGTGTCCTGGATCCTCTATCCTGAGTCCTGTGTCCTGGATCCTGAGTCCTGTGTCCTGGATCCTCTATCCTGAGTCCTGTGTCCTGGATCCTGAGTCATGTGTCCTGGATCCTCTATCCTGAGTCCTGTGTCCTGGATCCTGAATCATGTGTCCTGGATCCTGAGTCCTGTGTCCTGGATCCTCTATCCTGAGTCCTGTGTCCTGGATCCTGAGTCCTGTGTCCTGGATCCTCTATCCTGAGTCCTGTGTCCTGGATCCTGAGTCATGTGTCCTGGATCCTCTATCCTGAGTCCTGTGTCCTGGATCCTGAATCATGTGTCCTGGATCCTGAGTCCTGTGTCCTGGATCCTCTATCCTGAGTCCTGTGTCCTGGATCCTGAGTCCTGTGTCCTGGATCCTCTATCCTGAGTCCTGTGTCCTGGATCCTGAGTCATGTGTCCTGGATCCTCTATCCTGAGTCCTGTGTCCTGGATCCTGAGTCATGTGTCCTGGATCCTGAGTCCTGTGTCCTGGATCCTCTATCCTGAGTCCTGTGTCCTGGATCCTGAGTCCTGGATCCTCTATCCTGAGTCCTGTGTCCTGGATCCTGAGTCATGTGTCCTGGATCCTCTATCCTGAGTCCTGTGTCCTGGATCCTGAGTCATGTGTCCTGGATCCTGAGTCCTGTGTCCTGGATCCTCTATCCTGAGTTCTGGATTTGAGTCCTGGACTTCGAGTCGTGGCTGAACCTGTCACTGTGGTCCTGCCTGACTCTCATCATACTACTTCCCTGATGGCTCCCACAGGATTGTTGACATCCTCGTGGATTCATCCTCTTATGCATTTCCAAACATTTGGTCTTTCCAAACATTCGGTCTACCTATGTTGTAAATGTATTATCTCTTTGATTTACACACGGCATCTCTTGCACGTCTGTCCGTCCTGGGAGAGGGATCCCTCCTCTGTTGCTCTCCCTGAGGTTTCTCCCATGTTCCCCTTTAAACTGTGGGTTTTCTCTGGAAGTGTTTCCTTGTATGATGTGAGGGTCTAAGGACAGAGGGTGTCGTATTGTCATACTGATATTCTGTACAAACTGTGAAGTCCACTGTAACATTTGTGATATTGGGCTATATAAATAAACATTGATTGATTGATTTCACCCTTATTTCTATTTAATTTAAGATGATTTATTGAATTACATTTATTTTCCTTAAGTAACGTCATCTTAAACCCATATTTTACCTTTATTCCTGATCTACAAAGTCTATTTTCTATGACTTATTGTCATGACATTGAGGTTTTCTTTCTTATTATTGCATTTTAAGGTGTTAACCCTTAGATGCATAAGTGGGTCTTTTTGGACCCGGTGAGGTGGTTTTCTTGAAGTATCTTTGTAATTACATTTTTTTATCATTTCATATTCCAGCTATTCCTCAAAAAACATGTTTTGGAGATCATGCCATTCACATTTTACATTTACATTTTAAGAAATTGTAGTTTTTGTATTACTACCCCAAGCTTCCATAAGTGGGTCAAAAATGCATTTCCTATGGGATCCTATGGGAACCTTTGATTCTTATCACCTGTTGCTGTCAGGAATACATTCACTGTAAGACACACAGGCTACATCACAAGTGACACCTCTCAGGAAGATTATTTTACACAGCAAGATCTGAAACCTGTCAGTATAATAATAATACATTATATTTGTATAGGGCTTTTCAAGGACTCAAAATCGCTTTACAATATAAGGGAAGGTTAGGGTGGGGGGTATAGGACTATCAAACTTGATCAACCGGCATGGATTGATGGGGGGTGGGCTATGATGAGTAGACAAGAGAAGAGATGAGTTTTGAAAAGGGACAGGAATACTGTGAGGGTCTCAGAATAGCGGAGAAAAATGATAAATTGTGAAAAATACCAATACTAAATATTATACAAGTGATTTTTCTTAACCAAAATGACAAAAATGGCATAAAAACACATATTATTCTAATACGGGTCCTTTTAGACCCACTTATGGAAGAGTGTAGGGTCCAGTCACTCGGGCATCGAAGGGTTAAGAAGCTGAGTACAGTTAGGTAAGAGCTGGGTCATTTGATATATAATCACATGCAAGTGTATATATAAAGAAATCAGTGTAAACAAAATTCAGACATGCACCAACTGAGAGCCATATTTAATAATTTAATTTTGCCATGCATAAACCATATAGAAAATACTTTACAGCAATGACAGTAGTAAAAAAAAAAAAGGACATTTCATGAGGACAAAATGAACAACTCAATAAAGGCTCACATTGGGTTAGGCAGTTAGTAGAATATAAAGTAAACGAAACAATTACAATTAAAAAAAACAGCTTTTGTTAGAAAATTATTTAACTTTTACGTTACATTTTGCGACACCCCATAACCCCGACAGAAATGGGGGTAGACTTAAATGAGAAGGAGGTTTAATGTAAGGTTTAACATGCAGAAACACTTGGCACAAGTTAAAAAATAAACGTCAAATACACTCCTTCAGATTACAGACGATTAGCAACATCCTCTGGAAGAAACTCAAGTCATCTGTGTGGCATTTGAAAACAATACATTGCATTTAGGCAAATAAATCTCATTTTATGGGAGTCTGCAAAAGGAAAGTGTGAAATTAAAACGATCCAGTAGTAGTCTTTTAGCAATATTATTCTTCACAATGTCACAGTTCACAAAGGGAAAGCGCCACTTAAATTGCAATTACAATTAAGTTTCAAATAGTCAGGGAGCTCCTCTCAATACTGCAGTGTCTGTTGAATTGCAGCCAGACAATTTAAATTATTATTTCAAGCACAAAATGTACTTATTAACACTTCTTCATTACAATACTGCTTTATACAAATGACAAACCAAGAGAAAACATAGCATTGTTTCACATATGTACGTCCATCTGTTAATGAATTGTGTGGAGTTGCCAATTTAAGCTAAATATTCTCACCATTGGATATTTAAAAGTGTTCCCAAAGCTTCCCTTTAATTTTTTTTAAAGTGACAGAAAGCATTTAATGTACCGCTAAATCCGCTGAAATGTAATTACACAGCAACACATCAAACAAAAGCTTGAAATATGACACAAAACAGGAAAGCCTGCGTTGTTTCTTCCACGTTTTTCTACATTTCAGCTGTAAAATAAAGATTTTTTTAAAAGCACAGTAGGTCCAAGTCACTTAAGGTAAGAGGAACGAGTGCGCGTTATGGATACGAGGGTCCCTTTTTCCAATCGTTCATTCATCTACTGTTATAACGTCTTCTTCTCTTGAGGAAGGGATGTTTATATATATATATATATATGTAGTTATCTCAATTTGACCTCTAACGCTTGTTTATAAGCTTCTGAACTATCCCAATGTTTTTAAAATTTCTGATTTATTCTCCGTCAACTGTCAAGGCATTTAAGAAAGATATTAACATACAGATGGAGCACACAGTATTTGCCCTAGATAGACAAGGTAATGCTACTATTAACATGTTTTTAGGATCATTAACACAATCATAATTACCCTCATTTTATGACTTTGAGTCTGTTGATTGAGTTTAAGGGAAACACTTCAATGTATAGCTTTTTCCACTAAGTTTATTTTAATGAATTCCTTCATTGCAATTGGCCACTTCCTTCATTGTTCCCTCCATACAAAACAGTCCCATTTTTCTTCCTAATTATCTCGTAAAAAAACGTCTTCTTCCATCTTTTCACTGTCCGTCCTTCCTCTCAGAACAACACGTCCTCGTTCCGAATGAGCGTTTCTATCACGAGTCTCTGGTACCGGATGTCGTTGAGCGCCATCATGGCGTCTAGTCCGGGCGCCCTCATCAGCGTCGGTCCGAAGACGATACCCAAGTTCTCGCTGGTCATGAGGTTGTCCTTCTCGTACTCTGTCACCCTGGTGGAAGAAAAAGGGACGAAGAAGAGTATGTGAATGTTTTGGACGCAAAACTGTGAAAACGGCTAACACCAAAAGGTCGCAACACAATAAAACAGATAAAATAGTGCAAGTAAATACAATACAATAGAAGAAGTAGTGCCATAAGAGTCTATACAAGTGATAAATAATGTGTAAGTTGCAAACAGGTGAATGTTATGGATGTTCTTAGTTCAGGTGTTTAACAGTCTTATGGCCTGTGGTTATGTAGAAACATGGGCACGCTATTTTCAGAACATTTTAAAGAAATTATCCTAATGCATAGTGATGGGGACAAAATTGGCTATTTCAAAAAGTAATAGGGACATGCTCCCAGCGTCCCCAGTATAAATGAAGATGTAGAAAACATGACTTGTGTGTTCTGACCTCTTGAGGTGACCCATGAGGTATCGCAGCGTCTCGCAGTGAGCCGGCGGCAGCAGCTTCAGCGCCTCGTGGAGAGACTCCAGACGTTTTTCCGTGTCTGTAATCTCTGCAAACACACACATGAACGCAGAATCACTCGTTATACTCCTATAATAAGTCGAATTCAAATTCTAAAACATACATGTTCACGATACATGAGGCACAATAGCAAAACATTAAACATACATGTTAAGTGTGTGTGTGTGTGTGTGTGTGTGTGGTCACTCGATGCTATAATAAGTCTTTGTAGCCAATTTAAAGATACGCTGTCCCTCTAGGACAAAAAAAATGTACCTTGAAACCTATTTTTGATCCTGCATCTTTTTCATGTTACTATATGGACTAATGCACGCTATTTTTAGATTATTACTGCCATTTTTTATCTCGATTCAGCATCCTCAATAAACCCCCAAAACCACTCAAATAATGGTCCAAAAGACATTGTTTTTTGCTATTTGACATTAAATGCTAATGAACGTGTGCTAATTGTGCAAATAACCCAACATATGCAAGTTAGCATCCGGCATTTTCTATGTGCCGGTGTTATACATTCCTAACATAAAACTGGGTTCACATTGGTGGCAAATCAACTATTTACTGGTTTCCAAAAGGTTATTGCTGCTGTATTATGTGTGTTTGTAACAATGCATCAAAATCAATATCGCTGCTAATTATTGACATGTGACAAAAGGAATATGTGAAAACGTACTTCCTGTTTCTACGAAGTGTGGGTATGCATCGTATGTTATTAGGGGGATAGGCAGCTCTCTGAAGTAGAGTTTGAGCGCTCCAGTGATGATGTTCAGGTCCTCATAAGCATTTGAGGAGATGTCCGCCTTCTCTCCATCTGTGGAGCAAATGAGTCACAAGAAGTGAGTGAAAAGAGTGACAGAAAGAAACCACAACAACTTATTGATATTTCACTGATCCTAAAATGATTTCAGAAGATAAAAGGAACCTCACCTCTGTCAAAGTGCAGCTTCACATCTTCAATGAGCTCACTGAAGCCTGATATCCTGTACAAACCCTCCGACTGGAGACCTGAAACGTCAAATTGATTAATAAAATGAACTAAAACAGATGTGTCTGAACATATCTCTAACAATCCTCTTACCTCTCGCCTCGATTTCCTGTATGCACATGTCCACCACCATGGGCCTCTTGGTGTTGTGCACTTTGACCAGCGTCGTCAGGTCGCAGCTGTACACCTTCTTCACGTGACGGAGGTCCGGCTGGCAGTCGTTCGGCACGACTTTGGAGCACTGCTTATGAACATTTAGCCCACAGTCTGACAGAGAAAGACAGAATATGAAAGGGATTATAATATATATATATATATATATATATATATGTATACCCTTATGTGCAATACCACTGCTTGTGAATATACAACTTTGTGGCCTATTTATTACACAGATGCACATCAGATGGTCAGAAATAGTAGGATATGTTGATTTATTGTGTTTAATTAGTTTGAAATAACAATAATTAAGTTTGTAAACAGTTGATTGGCCTATGGGGAGGGGCTTAACAAATATGAACCTCGGGCCACAGGTGATTTTGGGTTACTCTGATGGTGGCTGTAGAGCAGAGAGGTACCAGTTTACATTCTTAGTTATTGCATCGACACTTTTTGTAATACTGAGTAATAATCAAAAAGACAGTGTGTTCTCTGGCACCAAATTGAATATTTTAACATTAGAAATTTGTGATTCACAGCATGAGTCAACAGCAGAAGTGACTAACGTTACGCCTGCTTTCCCGAATCTGAGTCACACTTTAAGAGAGAGGAGGCGCAACATGTCGAAAACAGTGGAGGAGGCAAAAAAGAACCGATTTTAGATAATGTATGCATGTGTGTGTGTGTGTGTGTGTGTGTGTGTTACCTGCACACTTGACTCCCTGAGCGATGAGCCCCCACATGAAGTTGGCACAGTACTCACACCAATGTGGACCTCTGAATGTATGAACCTGGTTCAAGAGACAAAATAAGTGTACAATTATCACAACATTTTAAACAATTATCAGGGTGAAAACAGATGTGGTCAGACGAAATGCTAAATAGAAAATAATAGAGTTTTTAAATGTACCAAAATAGTATTTTTCCACCGAGAACACACAAGAAATACCTGAAAAATAACTACATTGTAGACAGACAAAATGACAATTGAAGTGCTGAAAGAGAACAGTTTTAATCTTCTTATTTTCTCTGCATAGATTGGCTATATAAATGCTAATAGGCTCCATCACATCACAGTGCTCAGTGTGTGTGTGTGTGCGTGTGTGTGTGTGTGTGTGTGTGTGTGTGTGTGTGTGATTCCCAAGGGCTAAGGACACTGTGGAATGTGACCTTTGTGCTCCTCACTAATGACTACTACTGAATCTAAAGCAGGAGATAAAATCATAAAAAACCTTCAAATGAAAAAGCAGAAATGTGTGTTTCTCTGCGTGTGCATCCTAATGCGCTCTGTGCTCTCTTGAGGTGAATTTGAATAAGACCCCACGTGCTGAATCAGCGCTTTCTGGCATCCTTCAGCACACAGATTAAAAAGGAGAAACTCACCTTGAAGTTGTGGATCTTCTCGTATTTGGGCGCTAAGTCGCTCTCTCTCAGTGTCGCCCGTCGCACCAGAGATGTGAGCTGCGAAAGGGCAAAAGATCTGATTGGTTTCCAGAAGGTTGAAGCAGGGGAAGTGGGTTTCATGGGGGGTCCAAAACCCAAGTTTGGGTCCAGCAGGGAGGGAATTGAACCAGCGCTGACATCCAAACCGAGAGCAGCAGAAAACAAAGAGCCCTTCTGACCCGCTTGCTTCTCGGCTCGCCTGCGTGACTGTTTTTTACCTCTTTTAACGACATAAGACTCTCTACTCGGCATTGTGGGATGTGTAGTTTTGGCGTGAATTAAAATCACACTAGAGGTTTAAATCAAACAATGGCTATATCAGACCAAAATACTATAATAAATAACACATAAGACAATCAGACTGCAGATGAAAATAGCAGTTTTCCTGTCTTAAATGCTCAGAATACTTTTTAAAAGTAGAACAACTAGACTCTCAAATCATTTTAAAGCTCCATCCGATAACAACATCCCAAACGGAGCAGCAAAAAAAAAACCAATCCTGCCGTCTTAGCACCACAAAGATCAGCCAATCACATTAGCCCAGCATACTGATGCATACTATGGTGCAATTCCAGTTCATAACAAAACAAGAGAGCCATTAAAAAACAAAAATGTGTGAAAGAAAGTTCCCTTAATTCAATAAATCTTGCGTTCCCAAAAATCCTTCACAACGGACTGATGCTGCAGAATGTGCATCGCCGTCTCCTGTAGGTGAGCGCTTCAGCCCACATGGCTCAATGTGTGTGTGTGTGTGTGTGTTAAGCCTCTTTCCCTCCACACACAGGCAGAACTAGTGGAGGAGGGAGGAGATAAAGGCGGAGAGAGAGAAAGAAGACGAGGGGGGGGTTGGGCTACGCAGCAGTAATGGATGAATTTAACAGGTCACATTGAGAGGAGAAGGAGCCAATCAGATTACAGGGATTGTTGTTGTTTGTCACCGATTTCTGCCACCACATTTGTCCCGGGAGAGAAACAACAACGTGCTGAAACACAACATATATGTAATTCTATTGTCTGCATTTTTTTAATCCATCCCTTCATTTGGTATTTTTCCTCCGATCTTTCCCGTTTGTATTGATAATACTAAACAACAGCGACTACTACTGCACCTCTGGTGGGGGGACTTCTTCACTATCAACTACATATTCAACACCATAAACATGTCTGACCTGTCCTGTGTATTTATATGATGTGTTTCCATTGTGTGTAGATGGACACCAAAGCTAGTTATAATTAGCAAGCTCATATATTTATCTGTGACCCTTTAAGCTTCTCCCATGCTTCCTACCTTCCCGTTACCTAACTCAAAAGCCTTTCAAATGAAAATGTAACAAGTCATAACCTAAACCATGTGTTTACCATCCCCACAGGGCCCATAAATGCTGCATTTAACCCCCTACAAAGCTGATTAGCGTGCACGAAATTCAGAATTCGCATGTCTTCCCTACAGAGAACCACCTCTGGTCTCAATGTCACCACCGTACTGCTTTGTCTGCAAATCCACACACACACACACACACACACACACACACACACACACACACACACACACACACACACACAACACACACACACACACACACACACACACACAACACACACACACACACACACACACACACACACACACACACACACACACATCACACACACACACACACACACACCACACACACACACACACACACACACACACACACACACACACACACACACACACACACCACACACACACACACACACACCACACACACACACACACACACACACACACACACACACACACACACACACACACACACACACACACACACACACACACACACACACACACACACACACACACACACACACACACACACACACACACACTGCAGGTCAAACAAGGCCTCAGGAGGTACATTGCTGGTGTAGCAAATAAACGCATTGCACACTTTGTTATGAGCCTGTTGGTTTGTTTTTGTCCATTTTAACTAAACGGTTTTACACTTGTGTGTGTGTGTGTGTGTGTGTGTGTGTTTGAGTGTGTATAATCGCACGCCTTGATTTTCTGCACCCAGCACAATCAAAACAGCTGCAGAAATGACATGTAAATGTTTTCCAGCAGTCATTAGCATCCTCCCGCGTCAAACACTAAACCTCCCATCTCCAAACGCAAGTAAACTTTGAAAAACTCCATGTATAAGCAAAAGGTTTCCGTCCGTCCCCTGAGTTAAAAACCCAAATCGCAGAAAACAATTACCTCACAGCTGATGGGAAACTAATGAGCCAAAAACAAACTGGATTTCTGAATACTTAGTAGGCGGCTTTTGGGGAGATATCAGATTCCTGCAGGCAAAATGCAGTTATGTAATTTTACTGCAGAGCCTTTGGCTGGAGGCCATCTCTCCTCTGCATCCATCTTCCTCCTCCTCCTCTTCCTCTCCCTCTTTCTCCATGTCCTGAACCTTCTTCATCCTTCCATCTTAGCACTGTTCATGCAGGAACCTTCCTAACCTTATTCTACCCCTCTGCATGGCCTCTAAAAATGTCATTTTAATACGTTTTATGACATACAGTATTATGAAGGGATATGTGCTAATACTTTTAGATTTACGACTTTCTTTATCAAGGGATTGGTTAAAAGAAAATGTTTTTAAGTCTCTCAAATTATGAGAGTTGCTGCTTATCTATTTTAAATTGAAATAGACATTTGTAGCCCTACTTAATATACTGATCTAATTTCTGCGATATGAAGGCCTAATGTCAGACTGTAGTTTCCTAAAGGGGATATTCTTTGGTCGGTAGTCAACACTGCTTTTTGAAAAACCCCAAATCCTTCACGTCTATTTGCTGATTGGAGGATGCGTTCTTCCTGAGTTCATACAGATTTTCCATATTTCTTGAAGAGAGTGATGAATTTTGAAGATAATGATTGGTTTTCACTGCTTGATTTTCAGCCCCTAAGAGCTCCGCTGTATCACCATTAAGCAGAATAAACAAAATGTAACATTTTCCTCACCCTCTCCTCTGCGTTACGGTCTTCTTTAACTGGAACCGGTCCATCCGGGGCCTCGGGGCTGTGAGGAAGGGGTTTTTTCAGAGTGGGCTCCTGGTTCAAGGTGGTGTATCCCACATGTTCATAAATGGGGTTTATGGTCATCTTAGCGATGTACTCCGCCGCCTGACAAGAGAGAAGGTTACTGTAAACATGACAGGTCTTTTTCATTGCACTATTTCAGTGTTGAGAGAGCATGAGTTTCCTTATTTCTGGGATTCTTTTCAAGCAATCCAGGGATTCAGTTGATGAAGTTAACAAGAGTTGATGAAAGGGTAATAAAGTGCAAATCGGCTGACAAATGGGTGCAACTGAGCCAAAGGAGACTTCTTGGAAGACACACTCACACACCTTTGTCTCGATGTAGAGTGTGATGAGGCCGTCCGTTACCAGGTCGTGGATGGACTCAAACCTCTTCTCCCCAACAAAGTGCTTCCCGTCATGGTAGAGACGGAAGTTTCTGGTCTGGTTCCCAAACCTGGATAGAGCAGAGGAAAAGGATTTAGCTTGGAAACTGTCTCACAGCGCTCTAAAATGTATGTCCTTAAAAGGTCACCTATTATGCAAAATCCACTTCTTCATGTCTCTTCTACATCAACATGTGTCCCCTCTTCTTCATGTCTCTTCTACATCAACATGTGTCCCCTCTTCTTCATGTCTCTTCTACATCAACATGTGTCCCCTCTTCTTCATGTCTCTTCTACATCAACATGTGTCCCCTCTTCTTCATGTCTCTTCTACATCAACATGTGTCCCCTCTTCTTCATGTCTCTTCTACATCAACATGTGTCCCCTCTTCTTCATGTCTCTTCTACATCAACATGTGTCCTCTCTTCTTCATGTCTCTTCTACATCAACATGTGTCCCCTCTTCTTCATGTCTCTTCTACATCAACATGTGTCCCCTCTTCTTCATGTCTCTTCTACATCAACATGTGTCCCCTCTTCTTCATGTCTCTTCTACATCAACATGTGTCCCCTCTTCTTCATGTCTCTTCTACATCAACATGTGTCCCCTCTTCTTCATGTCTCTACTACATCAACATGTGTCCCCTCTTCTTCATGTCTCTTCTACATCAACATGTGTCCCCTCTTCTACATCAACATGTGTCCCCTCTTCTTCATCAACATGTGTCCCCTCTGTGGAAAGAGACTCTGAAAGTTTCAGGAAAAAAGATTCTCTCTCTTTTTGTCCTGATCCATTTTTATAAAAACCTGTCTGAAAATTATCTGATCAGATTTTGGCCACTTTATGATGTCATAACGATGTTTTGTCTTGTGTAACCATTAGCCAATCACCAACCAAGGTAACCCCCCCCCCCTCCTTTATCACCTGAATGTCCTCCTAGAGCACCATTGAGTTCTTTGTAACCAAATCTCTCTCAGAGGGGCGTGGGGAGGGGCTCCTTATTTTCATCTAAAGTAACAGACAGAGAATCAGCACTTTGGAAACAGGGCTGAAACAGAGGGGATTATGGGATGCTGCCATGATCAGTTTGGTGTTTCAGCCAATCAGAGACAGGCTCTGTATATATATCTGAGACCTATAATATATTGATGAAGAACAGTATAATAGGGGACCTTTAAAGCACAAACATGTCAAAGTAGAGGCACAAATACAATTATGAAGGATAGTCAAAAATGGCACAGACTCTGAAGTGGGCCAACGCATGATCTGCTCCTCTGTGGATCGCAATAGAAACCACCGCAAGATAAAACGCCACCCTTAGATCATTAACCCAAAATCAAACCGGTCTTTTTTCTGCCCACCCTCAGTGGGACACTGGTTTATGAAAGGGTATTTATGGAAGGTAATTATAAACCACAGGGATGGGAGAGGAGAAGTGAACGAGAGAGAGAGAGAGAAGCAGGTGGATTTATATCATGGCTATTTATATCAAACTAACCCAAAACCACATTTAATTTATTCCATGCACCCATTTAAAAAGTGTGACACCTACTTTTTGTCCCCATACTTTTCCTATACTTGAGTTGACACATATCAAGTGACATATCGTTCCCGATTGTCTGAATCTCCCTAAATTAAACCAACAGACACACAATTTACCTGAGAGCCAGAGTGTATGTGCCCGGTTGTCTCTGACTCTCCCTGATGAGATAGCTGCCTTCAGCCTGACTCAGCGATTGGTCGGCCTCTTCCCTTGAGATCATCCCATGGTACCTGGACACAAAAAGCAGCAAAATAAACATTAAATTAGTTAAAAAAACCACGTTATACTTCCTCCACGATTTAAGTTAACGGAAAGAGGTTTAAGATAGGTTGAGATTCCTCGTCGTTGTTGGAGATTAATTGAAAATCGCTGATAAAGAGAAGGCCTACTTACTCTCTTCCATAATATTTAGGTCGGGTTTCCACCTAAAAGGAAAGAAAATAATGCAGTTATTAAAACACTAAAAAAGGTACAGGTTTATAGATGACTTAGGAAGGATGAATCACCGTTTAACAAACAGACAAATATGGGATTTCCATGCATGCTTTACATGGTAGTATAACTATGTCATATAGCTCAGGACAGCATGTAATTCCCAATAACAACAAAGGGTGTGAAATGCCTCGTGTGCTCTTCGTGAGTGTGTGGGGGCGCAGGGAATATTGCACGAGTCAGATGAAAAGCTGAACATTGTGTTGTTGTTTGCATCTAAAACTGCTGTGGAGCCAATAAATCAACAAACATCCAAACAACAAACGCTGCTGAATATTAATTTGGATGCCTTGTATGTGCGGTTTGGACATAAAATAGGCAGGTGTGTGTGTGTGAGAAAAGACACAGGAGGAGAGGAAGAAGAGACATTTAACACATCTTACTGAGATATCTTTGGGTTACATCAGTGTGGAGATAAAACACCAGATTTAGTTAAAGATAAAGACATGTTTGAGGAGTATATTCGAATGCACCTTAAACACATTCAATTGGAAGACTTAAACCCTGTTGATTGTTAAAAAATGACATTCAAACAGCGGAAATGGCAGCAATGCTCCTATCAAATAAGCTGGAGAAAGTATGTGGAAATTAGTCAATGATTATCACAATGTGTTATGTAGATTCCCAATAAATAAGCTGAGGACTTATTCAATAATACCCTCTGCTACTTGTTAATGAGTGCATTGCTTTACTTAAAAAGGTTGACACTGTCCAGCTTGAGGACAGTGTCCACAAATTAAAAAGTACCAGCCTTAGATAAGTGCTTATTGGTGCATCATTAAATCGCATATGGCTGAAATCCCAGCAGACGCCATGGGGCTATTGTACTCCGTCTGTCTGCATTTTAAATTGGGTCAAACAACGACTACCTGAGGATCAAAGCCAACAGCTGTTCATCTAGCACCCACATACACACTCAAGGAAGCCTTTTTTTATTACAAATTAACACAAACACCAGACATGCTTTAATCCCACTTGGATCCCCCCAAACCTCGCTGACACATCTGGTGATTTCTATTGCTAAAAAAGGTCATTTAAGGATTCATTATCTGTGATCCGGGGCATTTTCTTAAAACTTTAAAGACTGTGTGATGTTGTGGAAGACCAGTGGTGTTAAAGTACTGTACTTTTATGCTTCTTTGTACTTCTCCACTGCAATTCAGAAGTAAATCGTGTACTTTTACTCTACACTACATGTATTTAATGCCTTTAGTTACTAGGCAGATTTTGATTAATGATGTGAAATATAATCAACTCTTAAATCTGACTTTACTTACACCTGGAGTAAATTCACAAGCTACCCTGCTTAAAACTAGCTGCACCTTTACCAGCTTTGAGAACACTTTCATGATCAATCATTATAATCAGAACATATCATATATATTATTCTGAAGTGTTTTCTCACCTCACATGTGCAGGTGAGTCTGCGTGGGTGAGGCGCCTCCTGCTGGAGCTGGTACACTGTGGCAAAAAATTATAAAAAGTGAGTCAAAAACACAAAAAATAAGCACTCAAAGCAAATAATGAAAGTATAATTATATAAGCACTTTTTTGGCAATTCTACGGTGCAACAACCATCATTATTTTAATGTGCAAAACGTCATTTTTAGCCCTGGATGAGTACTGACTTATTATTACTCTATATTTAACACGTTACCTCCTTTTTATATATTCTATGTCCCTTTTGCTGCGGGACCAATATAGGAATTCTGATTCTGATAAAAATCTTAAATGACAGTTTTAAAAACGGGCAAAATCAGGGTAATAACATTAAAAAAAAATGCACCAATACTCACAGTAAGACTTCCACACAGGTGGCCGGTATTCATCATGATCTGAGGACAGAAGAAGTACAACAAGGTGTTACTCGAATTGAATTCCCTTTACAACAGCGCCACCAAGTGGTCACAACTGGTAATGATACATGATACCCGTTATGTCTCAATTTTGATATGAAGCATTAACCATTAGTACGCTCAAGTAACTTAACCTTTGTTAATTCAAACTAATGAAATAGCACAGTATCTATTTGCAGGGGCAGCTTCATGTAAAAAACATGCTCAAATGCTTGTTTATGGATTAACAGTCGAGATGGGTAGTCATTTTGAAACCATCAGATGTTTTTTACAGCTTAACAATGAACCTACTTAAGGAAATTATGCAGTTTTATTGATGCCACTGCCACAAAGAACAAGCCAAATAAACAGATTAATGTCTCAAATGTTGTCAATTTGACATATTAAGTGAAAGCTCATTTATTTTCTCCATTTATATGCAATTCAAAACTTAAGTATGCTATCTGGCTACGTGCAATTTAGTAGCAGACTTAATTCTGATGGAGAACAGTAATATGCATCTGTCCCATGGTGAGCATTTTGTCATTTCAGGCCGTGCATGTGTAAAACTAACAGCCTGTTTCCTGTCTTGTTGTACTATGTGTTTACTCTGCAAGGCTTATCTTTTCCACACTTGTCTTCCCGGTATCCTGTCTTCAAAATAACTCCAGATCCTCCCCGAGCGAAATGTCACACCCTCTTTCTCAAGGAAACATACCCTTACAATTAAACACACACACACACACGCTTACCAAAAACATTTAGGGCCATCTTGATTCTGTGATACGATGAGGATTATTATGAAGAACAGTTATCCAGAAGATCCAAATTTCCAATAAAACAGACAATTTAAATCCTGAAAGACAAAGAAGGTGCAAAGCGTTCATCAACTAATGAAATAACACTGTGTCTGTTTACAGGGGCATCTTAAATAAATGCTCAAATGCTTGTTTGGATGTTGTAAATGAACAGTTGGAGATGGGTAGGTAATTTTGGAACAATCAGAAGCAGTTTTATTAATGCCACCTTCAAAAAGAACAAGCCAAATAAACAGTTTCATGTCTAAAATGGTGACAATTACAGTTTGAAATCATTCATTTACTCCAGTTTGAGTGCAATTACCTCGGGGCGTAACACTAAAGGATGTTATTTTCCAACAACAAAAACCCAATGTCGAAATAACCAAGCCAAATTATAAATAAATCTAATTTGTGCAAGCATCAAAAAGCTGTGAACGATGCATTACTATAGCTTTGCACAGAGGATGGTTTGTAAATTAGCTCACGTCTTTATTCTCAGACATACTTTTGAGTAATATTGCTTTATGCATTGCACCATTACCCAGAAAACCATAATCATTTTAGGCGTCAATGGAGTCTGGCTTAACGTTTTTAATGCACTAAAATGTGTGTTGTAAAAGCATGAAAGGGCAGGAGTAGCAAAAGCAACATTTGTGCAAGCATAAAAAAGCTGTGGAAGATGCATTACTGTAGCTTTGTAGAGAGGATGCCTTGTAAATTAGCTTATTCTCAGACATGCTTTTTAGTTAGTGTAACAGCATCATTTTCAGTGGAGTAAAGTGAAAAACTAGCTGAGTAACAACACATGATACAGCACCAAATTATAAAGGGAGCGGTAACTCCAGTAGGAAAACTGATCCGCGGATAAAACGGAAATTATACATGGCTACATTTTTCAATGAAACTGCAGAGGAAGCATGTGCTTAGGAATACAGTGAAAGTGCACATAAAACAATCTTAAATAATACACTGGTTTGTCATTATAATAACGGTTTTTCTCATAATACTCACATTCAAAATCCATTCTGCATTGTAGTCGCCATCTTGCTGGGTCACGTGATCAGTCTCGCCTTCTCTCTTTTTCTCTCTCTCTCTCTCTCTCTCTCTCTCTCTCTCTCTCTCTCTCTCTCTCTCTCTCTCTCTCTCTCTCTCTCTCTCTCTCTCTCTCTCTCTGGAGTAGCTATGGCAACAGTCCCGATTTTAAAATTGAGTTTATCACATACTTCAATAATATATAATTCGGTTGTGTAGCGTTTCTTGCTATAGTATATAAGAAATGGGGAAGCCAAGCGTACGACTTATATAAATGTTAAGGTATAATAATTAACAATTTGATCGCACGAAATGTGGCCGGTTAGCTCAGTTGGTTAGAGCGTCGTGCTAATAACGCGAAGGTCGCGGGTTCGATACCCGTACTGGCCATCTGATGTTTTTATGCAACGCCACAATTAAACGTCCTTTTTTACTACTATCACTATGTTTCAGGGTAGTATATTTTGATTGTAGAGATGTTCAAATGTTTTATTCGATGTTATTGTAACCATGCAATGTATTGGTCTATTACACTGCTTTCAATCGGGTATATTTATATTGTTGTGTATTAAATAGATATAGTCAATAGATATACTGATATGTATATTCACATAATTATGCAACCTGTAAAGTGACAACAAGAAAACGATTAAATCAACATAAGAAAACACTTTTATTTTTAAACCGAGTTGAAGATGTAGACTTTTAATGGAAATCAACTACGACTCCCATGATGCACTCCTCGGTTACACCCCTAGGAAGTCGAATAACCCCAAACTTTTTTCCCAAAAAACGAAGCTTGTGCAGCAGATAAAGGTAATAACATATATATACTAACACCAAACGATGACACTGTGCCTGTTTTAATGTTTTGATCACTTTCTGCAAACTTTATGAGTAATTTGTGTGTGTTTGGCGCTGTGCATCATAGTATATTAGATCCACGTGGTGTGTGTGTGTGTGTATGCGTGTGTGATGTATTAACACACTGTATCCACGGTCAGTCTGTAGGCTGATAGCAGAGGACACACACTCCTGACTGCTGTCCTGAACCTTTTTCTGCTTCACACACACAGGTGAGTGTCAAAACAGCATGCTAAGTGATCATGTGTTTGTTGTGCTAATGTCGCTTAAAATGTGTCAAAACTGTTATTATGTTCGTGCAAAAGGCAAATACATGCATAGTATTCATGCTTTACTAGCTTGTGCATGAACACGTTGTTGTTGTTTGGATTAAATGATTTGTATGTGGACGTTTTTCAAGATATTGAGATAGGAAAAGATGCTTCAGGATATAGACATCAACATCTGTCCTCTATCTTCTATATCAATGGTTCAACATTCAGGATACGTTCATATAAATGAATGTGCAGCCATATTGAGGTCAGGTCACACACTAAGTAAAATGCTTGTGCGACATCTTTTACACTATTTATCCACAGAAAAGTGTTAGTTTATGCTGTAATATTAGTTGTGTGGTTGAAAGTGGAGTATGAAGGGAAGTTATCACAGAACCTACAGCTCGTTTCTTTGATTTTATTAAGGGCCTTTTTAAATAAGTGATGCATTGTTAGACATATGCATTTGATTTTCTCCCTGGCATGTGAGTCTCATGAGTCAAAGCCAGTGATTTGACTAATTGTGGAGCATGTGCACCCACTGTGCAACACTCGCCCCTTTGTACTGTTCAATACTGATCAAATATCTACTTTAGTAAACCATGCAATTTCACAATCCTCAGGTAACTTTGGGTTAGACATCTGATCTGGATTCTTTTTAAACGAAATGACACTGTTTTCTGTTGAATGGATTAACTAGGAATGGGGAAATTGATCCGATTTTATTGGTATCAACGCCATTATCAAGTCTGCTTATCTGTTCGTCATTGATTCCTGATACATTTTCTGTCTGTGTGAATGAACAAGAAGCCTATTACAGATTTTCAGGATCAATCAACGCTGCTTTATTCTGAATTAATCTGCTAAACCTGCTTGAGGGTGTCATTTTATTATAGCTTAGTATTAACCTATGTCAATTACATAGCATTTCTGGAATTGTAGCCCATGTTAATGATCAAATCAAACTTTACATGGTTGCACAAATTGTCAGTATCTCTGTATATCTCTAAAAATCAGCTTCTAATTTGCAAATAATACAATAAATACATGCATAACAGGATGTATTGGTCTGATGAGGCTGAGACTATACTGTATATCAAGCTGATAATGGCTTCGTTTTTTCAATGCAAATGCTTTTGCCGGTGATTTGATCGGCCTGGTGACCATGCCATTTAATTGGCATGACTTGTGTTTTTGTTCTAGTTGATTGGACCCGTGTTAGTGTGACATTACAAGATAATGAAAGACCCCATTCCTCAGAAAAGGTCAATGCTTCCTCACATTTTAGGGAACTACTTTTCGTTATAGGTCAATCTTTGCATGCAATTAAATGCTCTGCTTCACAAGCGATTAAAGGCAAGTGAAGTTTCAAGATTCACGGCTTTATTGTCATTTGCACATTAGCTACAGTGTAGATATGTCAATGAAAAACTTAGGTCACAGGCTCCTTCAACAGTGCAACATATATATATATATATATATATTTGTAGAACAAATAAACCAGATATAATAGTGCAAGAAGTAAATACAAATACAATAGAAATAGTGATATAAGATATATAAAACATAATAATAATAATAATAATAATAATAATAATATTAATAATAAAACATGAATAGGACAGGTACATAAATAAAAGTTACAGTGCAGTGTGAGATGTGAATAGTTCAATTATAAGTAGCGGCAAAAAGAAAAGTCTTCAGCCTGGATTTAAAAGTAATCAGAGTTGCAGCGGACCTGCAGGTTTCTGGTTGTTTGTTCCAGATATTTGGAAATATCCCAAACCAAATTCTCACATTCCTCTAGTCCTGGGTTGCGGTCGAATAGTCCAAAAATCAGCTCCTAACGTCTATCCCTATCGTCTATTCCTTGACCTCTGTGTGAAACGTCACGGGGTTAAGGGATAGTGGATAGGAGAATTCAAAAGGACTTGGGAGAAGAGACTGTGGTACTTTAGAGAATCCGACTGCACTTTCTCTATCCGACGTGTTTATGATGCGCCAGCGGAGGTCATAAATGTGCGTCTGCTGCTGTGGGGAAACTATGGAAACTACAGTTTTCTATACAGCGGACTACAACATGGATGTTTAATAAGAACGAGGGACTTCTGTAAACTCATCTAGAGACTCTGCACCGTGCTCTGATACTGTTGTTTTATGCTTTATGAACGGGGACAACAGAGAAACATATTCTTCATGACCAAAGTTGGAATTGAAATAAAAAAGGAAAGTGAAACTTATGCTCGTCACCCTCTCCCTCCGGTCCACATTAATACAAATGATCCCAATACGTATGATTGTATGAAAAGATCTTAAAATCAATACAAATGTATTTATTATAAACGTTAGTCCTTAACATCTATCACTGTGTATATCACCATTCAAACATCTTTTAAAAGTTGAACAAACCCCACACGGCTCAGTAAAGACTGTGAAATGTTGACTTTATTTGATCATTTCAGTAAAAACTAACGTTCATATTTCTCTTTTTGATTATAATACTGATGAACGTTCAAAACAAAGCACTTTGGCAACTTACCACATACGTTTGAAAAAGCTTAATAAGCACCGTAACTTTCATGATATCATTTCTCGGTCATAATCGGTTGTTTCCGTGAACGGCCGACTGCTGTGTGACGGCAAATGCTGCGGCTGCAAGGCATTGTGGGGCAGCATTTTCTCCTCTCCTTTCGTAAAGGAAGGTCCAGTGGTTCCTAAGCTAAAGGAGGTTATAAAGGAAGTTTGAAACCTCCTTTCCTTTCATTTAGAGAATTCGAACGGCACTTATAATGGCTGCCACTGAGGGACTTCCGGGTCATTTCACTCCGTTAGGAAGGTTCCTAAGCTAAATGGACTATTCGACTGCAACCCTGGTCTTCCTGTGAAATTATAGTTCTTTTGACAGTTTTCTAACCTTTTTATATTCCTTTCATCCTTCTCAGCTATTTAGGTACCATGGCAGAGAAGGTGCTGGTGGTTGGAAGTGGAGGGCGGGAACATGCGTTGGCCTGGAAACTCGCCCAATCGCCGCTGATTCGGCAAATTCTGGTCGCTCCTGGTAACGCAGGCACGGCCAACTGTGGGAAAATCAGCAACTCGGGTACTTAAAAAGTGTATTTATTTGTATAATTTGAAAATATGGGAAGGAACATATAATCATCAGCGTATAATAATAATAATAATAATAATCCTCCCACCCTCTCTCTCTTCATGCAGAGGTGTCGGTTAGTAACCACGCCATCTTGGCTCAGTTCTGCAAGGATCATCACGTCGGGTTGGTTCTGGTCGGCCCTGAAGTCCCGCTGGCAGCAGGTGAGATATCTCCATCTCCATCATTTTAACTCTGGTGCTTCATCATACTATCTTTCCTCTAACTTGGGCTTCTCTCCCAGGTATTGTGGACGATCTGACAGCAGCAGGAGTTCCATGTTTCGGCCCGTCTGCCAAAGCCGCTCAGCTCGAAGCCAGCAAGAGTTTCTCCAAAGCTTTCATGGAGAGACACGGCCTCCCAACAGCGAGATATGGATCCTTCACCGACGCCCAGGAGGCCTGCAGCTTCATCCGCACGTCAGTACTGCACACACACACACACACACACACACACACACACACACACTCACACTCACACTCACACACACGTCTTATAGCAGTGTTTTTGTGCAGAAGAAAGTCCTATTGTATGATTGATAGTTTAAAGTAGGACATATTTACAGGATATAAGAGATTCTAATTGAAAAAGATGATGTTTCCACAAGCAAACTTTTATTTTCAGAGCAATTAAACACCCAAAATGTAAAATAGAAACTGTTATGTCCGCTGAAGTTGTCAGTTGGTTTCATGAGTTAATGATCTAAGATGTGCTGATTGCCTTTCACATGAGAGCGCCCTCAAACACTGTGACTTTTACAGACAGAAAGTCACCTCTTTGGGCATTTTCTGACAGCTTTCAGCCATAAAACAATATATCTAACTCTGCAAATGTTAAAAGGTCCCCACACAAAATGTTATCCTGCATATCAGCGATGCAGCATCTGCTCTAGATGTGTTTACTGTGACAAGATGTTGAGTTTATTTCTTTGTTTCTGGGTCTGCAGGGCTGATTTCCCGGCGCTCGTGGTGAAGGCGAGTGGGTTGGCGGCGGGGAAGGGAGTCATCGTGGCTTCAAACAAGGAAGAGGCCTGCCAGGCTGTGATGGACATCATGAAGGTATCAGTGAAGCTATTTTTCATGAGATCTGGCAGCTGATGTGGATGTTGTTGGCTGGATAATACCTAGATTCTGTAGTGAATATAATATTTCTATTGATTGTAAAAGTAATGCACATATTTCTCCTTTTAAGCGTCTTCCAGTTTACTCATTTTGAAAGCTAAATCTGTTTCTTTAACACTTTGTTGCAGGGCCGAGCCTTCGGGTCAGCAGGCGAGACTGTGGTGGTTGAAGAGCTGCTCGAGGGAGAGGAAGTGTCCGTGAGTAGACGTGAAGTTCATGAAATAACTGAACCAACTTTACCTTAAGGTGACAGCATGTGAACCCTCTCTCTCTTTGTAGTGTCTGTGCTTCACTGACGGATTCTCAGTTGCTGCGATGCCTCCAGCTCAGGATCACAAACGGCTGCAAGACGGCGATTTGGGGCCAAACACCGGCGGCATGGGAGCCTACTGTCCCACCCCTCAGGTACATATCTTAATCTCAGTCTTTTGTTGTATTTTAAGAAGCAGTCCACTTGTGAGATGTACATAAAAATCACACCCGCCTCAGTTTACAGTCCACTCAAATCTCCACGTTATTGCTCACATACACACATACGCCCTTTCCTTCTAAGTCTTGGCAAATGATACATAAATACAGACATACATTTAAATTCTCTGACCTTTCCCTGGGTAGTCGGTACAGACAGGTGCTAGTTAAAAATGAAACATTACAAAAAGGAGGTGTTTAGAGCTCAGATATCACTTGTGTTGGAGACTGTGATCATTTTCGTGAAGCCATGTTTTAACTCTGTCTCCCTCTCAGGTGAGCCAGGAGATTCTGCAGCAGATCACAGAGAGCGTCCTGCAGAAGACTGTGGATGGCATGAGGGAGGAAGGGGCTCCTTATGTGGGTAAGGGATCTTTTGCAAGACTCAAACATTCAAAGGCTTTATTCTCATATGCACAGCAGCTAGAGTGTAGATATGGCAATGAAAATCAATTAACATTAAATCCCGTACAGTATTTTCTCTCAGTACTGGAGTCCGAATTTTGGAGAGTTTTGGGTTAATGTAACAAAGCCTGTGTCTCGTCTCATTTACATTTCCTGTTTGTATGTCCAGGTGTGCTGTATGCAGGCCTGATGTTGACCAAGGAGGGGCCAAAAGTCCTCGAGTTCAACTGTCGCTTCGGGGACCCCGAGTGTCAGGTGGGTGTTTTTTTTATTTGACCCTCCAATCACTACATTAAAAGTTCATTCTGATTTCCCCACATCTTTCGAACCACTTCAGGGTCGTTAACCTCCTGATCAAAGTGTATTGAATGGCTCTGACCTGCACCTTAACACACACACACACACACACACGGATGACCCCTACCCCCTACCCTTTGCTGTTTTATTTTATTATTATTATTATTTGTATGTATGTATAATGAAACTGAATCTGAAATAAAAACTAATATCAACCCTCTGGATGTGCTTCCACTCTCAGGTGCTTTTGCCTCTTCTGAAGAGCGACCTTTACGAAGTGATCCTGAACACAATGAGTGGGAAACTGGCCTCTAGCGCCCCCGTGTGGCACCAGGACAGCTCTGCGGTCACTGTGGTGATGGCCAGCGCTGGATACCCCGGATCCTACAAGAAAGGAGTGGAAATCACAGGTGGGAATGATTTATCCAAGGCTTTATTGTCATGTGCACGTTAGCTACAGTGTAGATATGGCAATGAAAAACTTAAGTCACAGGCTCCTCCAACATAAAACCAATAAAAACAGTGCAAGAAATAACAGAATAGAAATAAAATAGTGCAAGAGAATGTTTTGAGAATTGCAAGTAAATAGAAATAGTGCAAGAAGAGTCTATACTTGATTAAAACTACATTTAAATTGAAGATGTGTTGCTTTTCATTGTTTAAAATGATAACAAACCGTATATCATAAATAAATGTATCAATTTGTGCTTTCCGAAAACATGTATTTATTGATTTTTTTACACTTATACCATTACACAAACACAACCGAACATTCCCCAACATAATGGCAGATTACAAAAATAATGCAAAAATAAATAATTAAATATCAATCAGTTTAAAGTGCAGACCAAGAATATAATTACATTTACAAATTCAACCAAAATACAATAAAAGCACATCCACAAACAGAGCAGAGTACAGATTACAATTCTCCAAATAGACTAACTATATTCAACATTTCCTCACAGTAGTCTTTTTATATCTGGTGTTTTAAAGCTGTGTATACCACCCCTCTTTTCTCCTCAGGTTTGTCTCAGGTTCAGGACTCGGGGCTGCAGGTTTTCCACGCCGGCACAACTCTGAAAGACGGGGCCGTGGTTTCCACCGGGGGGCGAGTTTTAACCGTCACCGCCGTCAAATCGTCCCTGGAGACGGCCCTAAATGCAGCCAATCAGGGCGTAGCATCTGTCGGATTCCCGGGAGCCGTGTACCGACGTGACATCGCACATCGTGCCATCGCTCACCTGAAGCAGCACAGGTGTGTGTGAAAGAAGAAGAAGCTAAAACATTCCTTTTCTGTTTTTTTTTTACAACTGTTTTTGTTCATTTCCATGCCGTATATCTTGTAGCACTTAAAGAATAAAACAACTTCACTTTGGATTTACTTGTGTCCTAGTATTTCTTTTAATTAAGAAAAGTCCAACACCAGAACTCATGTTTAAAAATACTCTGGTGAAAGTAGAAGTACTGACTAAACTTCTTTACTCAAGTCAAAGTAAAGAAGTTTGAAATGTACTTCAGTAAAAAGTACCCATAGCTAGCAGCTGTTTTAAAGAGTACCTGACCTCCCTTTATATTAATAGAACAATAATGTCATTGTTAGCTAATGAATGTTTCCATGCTGAACAACGGCAACATGACAACGTTTTCATTGGTCCCTCTTCTTTAGAGAAGACCAGGAAATGATGGATACACGGATCGTGTTCAAATCAATAGGCACGCAATGACTCTAAATAATAATGATCACGCCACCAAACACACATTCAAACTAAAGGAACCAGCCTGTTTGGGAAATGTGAGAAGTAGAAAGTACAGGTATTTGGGTTCAACATGTGAGAAGTAGAAAGTACAGGTATTTGGGTTCAACATGTGAGAAGTAGAAAGTACAGGTATTTGAGTTCAACATGTGAGAAGTAGAAAGTACAGGTATTTGTGTTCAACATGTAAGAAGTAGAAAGTACAGGTATTTGTGTTCAACATGTAAGAAGTAGAAAGTACAGGTATTTGTGTTCAAAATGTAAGAAGTAGAAAGTACAGGTATTTGTGTTCAAAATGTAAGAAGTAGAAAGTACAGGTATTTGTGTTCAACATGTGAGAAGTAGAAAGTACAGGTATTTGGGTTCAACATGTAAGAAGTAGAAAGTACAGGTATTTGTGTTCAACATGTAAGAAGTAGAAAGTACAGGTATTTGTGTTCAACATGTAAGAAGTAGAAAGTACAGGTATTTGTGTTCAACATGTAAGAAGTAGAAAGTACAGGTATTTGTGTTCAACATGTAAGAAGTAGAAAGTACAGGTATTTGTGTTCAACATGTAAGAAGTAGAAAGTACAGGTATTTGGGTTCAACATGTAAGAAGTAGAAAGTAAAAAGTGGTCAGAAAAATAAGTAGTGGAATAAAGTATTGATACCAGAAAAATGTACTTAAGTACAGTAACGAAGTATTTGTACTCGACTACTTCCCACCTCTGATGATCTGATACCTTGATAAATATGTAATCAGTGGTTTTTCACTGTGTTTCTGACAGAGGACTGACCTACAAAGACAGCGGCGTGGACATCGCTGCCGGTAACAAACTGGTGGAAATGATCAAACCTCTGGCCAAGGCAACGTCTCGCGCTGGTAATTTTATTCTCACGTATAAAAATCTAAATTCTCAGCAAAAAAGTACATCTCAATAAAGATAAGACTCTTGTTTCTAGCTAACTGCTGATTGAGTCATGATTGCTGTTGTACATTGATGTAACACAAATGCAGTCAAATTTACAAATGTATGAAATGGCAACTGTGGCTATAATTTAGTATTTTCTTCACCAGGGTGTAATGCAGAACTGGGAGGCTTTGCTGGGCTTTTTGATCTGAAAGCTGCAGGTTTTATCGACCCAATCCTGGTGTCTGGGACCGATGGAGTCGGAACCAAACTCAAGGTGGGACTTCTGCAATACCCTTATCCCATTTTACGTCACATATGTGGCACCCGATGTAATTTGAGAGTGGGAACAGATAAGAATCGAATGTAAGAAGCATCAACTTTAATTTGGCTTTGATAGATGCCAAGTCGACGAAAGAAATAATAATTGACATGTGGAAGTAATTAAGCAACAGGGTATATTTGCTTATGTGTAAAATGATTAAAAGGCTTCTTAAAACCCCTGAACTGAAATTGTAAAAGTGTTAAATATCTGGGATACTTAATCTGTTTTAGTGCTTAAACATCCTACAAGTGACCAAACCTGATACGTTTTTCCTTCTGTACTTTCTACTTAGTTTTTATCAAGGATTTTGCTTTAATAAAAACACTCTTTAGATGCCAAGTCGACAAAGAAATAACCATATATAATAAAATACAAAATAAAAAATACATGTACATTTTTTCTGCATTTTATCAAGGATTTTGCTTTAATAAAAACACTCTTTCCTCCTCAGATCGCGCAGGCGTGCGGGCAGCATGGCGGCCTCGGTCAGGATCTGGTGGCCATGTGTGTGAACGATGTTCTCGCTCACGGCGCCGAGCCGCTCTTCTTCCTCGACTACTTCTCCTGTGGCAGGTTGGATGTGGATGTAGCTTCATCGGTGATCGGAGGCGTCGCTAAAGCCTGCGAGCTGGCCGGCTGCGCTCTGCTGGGTGAGAGATTCAGATTCAAGGCTTTTATTGTCATTCGTACATAGCTACAGTGTAGATATGACAATGAACATCTTAGGTCACAGTGCAACACAATAAAACAGATCAAATAGTGCAAGTAAGTAAATTACAATACCATTTGTCAGAACAGTTCCTCTTACTCAATCAGTCGGTATTCCTTGTTGCTGGTTTGAATCTTAAACATTTAACCCAAAAGAGACATTTTAATACCTGTCAAGTTCTTCTGGGTTTTGGCCTATATTCAACTTGATAGTCTTGAGGGCAACAGAGGACGCATGGACAACTGGAACTTTCTGTTGAAGACCAAAGGACACGAATACATATTGCAAATACAATTATAAAACATTTGTATGCCTCATTGCATTATTTCTACGTTACATTCCTGACTTTTCAGGGTATTATCATTCAAATGTAAAAATATATCATTAACTTAAATGAATTAATAAGCAAGTATTTTGCTCTACCTGAAAGCCAAGCAACCCAGAAAACCCCATTGATTACCATTTGCACAAAAATATAACTATCAAAAGGAGCGCAAACTAATTACGCTGTGGTTAACATTTTCTTTCATCAGGTGGAGAGACCGCAGAGATGCCGGGCGTCTACGCTCCAGGAGAATACGACCTGGCGGGGTTCTGTGTTGGAGCGGTGGAGCGAGGGGCTCTTCTTCCCAGGATGAAGGACATCGAGGAGGGCGACCTTCTGATCGGACTCGCCTCCTCCGGGGTCCACAGCAACGGATTCAGTCTGGTCCGAAAAGTCCTGGAGAGAGCGAACCTCAGCTACAGCTCTCCGGCTCCTTTCGGCACGTCGGGACAGACTGTGGGTGAGTCCGATTCAAAGAGGAATTAGTAGATAAGACTATCTTCCCCTTCTATTTGATGTTTCTCATTGTAATGAGAAAAGTTATTGTGAAAACAGTGTGTATTTTATGTCCAGTATTAACAAAAATCTGAGTGTTGTCAGAGCAACTTAAAATCAAAAAACTCCTGAGTGCGTCCTGCTCAATGTGTGACAGACTCTTTTATAGGAAGACAGTAACCAAAGCTCATTTACATTTCAAACCACAACATGTGGTCCAGGTGGATCACAATAAGCACAACTCAAACCCTACAAAGAACAGTTTGTCGTGTCATAAAACCCCTTCCAAACAGATCTGTTATCACACGTACATTTATATGCCATTCCCAGGATACCACTTTGTTAACACTTACATGTCATTAGGATTACACGGTGTTAAGCTTTAATACCATAATTGCCATAACAGTGTATAATCACTTGCTTGCCCACCATCTCTCTGTCTCTCTGTCTCTCTGTCTCTCTGTCTCTCTGTCTCTCTGTCTCCAGGCGAGGTTTTGCTGACGCCTACAAAGATCTACAGTCGTGTTCTGCTGCCGATCCTCCGCAGCGGGGCGGTGAAAGCCTACGCTCACATCACAGGGGGGGGTCTGCTGGAGAACATCCCCCGCGTGCTGCCTCAGGAACTGGCTGTCGATTTAGGTGAGTTAACACACACACACACACACAGAGCGTTCAAAAGGGACAATCTACAAGGCTCGATGTGCTCATTTGCCATAAGTTTTTCGCCTAAACACAGAAACACGAGCAATCTGTCCATCAGCTGGCCAAAAGGCATCATATTCATACGGAGAAATGCACCGTTTTCGACTTCCTTAACTCTGAGTTCTGTTGCCTCAATTACGTGTGAGGTGGGAGAAGTACTCAGATCAAGGACTTGAGTAAAAGTAGTATACTGCAGACCAGGGTCGCTTGTGAATTTACTCCAGGTGGAACTAAAGTCTGATTTAAGAGTTGATTATATTTCACATCATTCATCCAGATCTGTAAAGAAACTAAAGGTAAAAGTACACCATGTACCTCTGAACTGTAGAGTAGCAGAATTACAAAGAAATGATATATATAAATACGTAAGTACCTCAAAATAAGTACTTGAGTACTCATTATTTCACAGTGGCACAGGATCATCTGCCAATACAAGCACTTTTGTTCAATCCATAATAATATATAAAATTATAGTTGGATATGTTTGTCTTGTTGTTATTGGCATGTAATGTAATGTTTGTACAACTATATACAATTAATTCTACCAATCTCGGTGGGAACTGGATTAGGGGGGGCTCGAAAATATTTCCAATTACACAAGGGTGGCCTGACTGAAAAAGGTGCTTTATTAAGGTATATATTACACATATCTGTTTCTCATCCATATCCCCCCAGATGCCTCTCGATGGAGCCTCCCTCCCGTGTTCTCCTGGCTGCACAAAGAGGGCAGTCTGAGTGAAGAGGAGATGACTCGAACCTTTAACTGTGGCCTCGGGGCGGTGCTCGTTGTTTCTCCTCTGGACGCTCAGAGGGTCCTTCGCCAGCTTCAAGCCCCCGAAGAGGCCTGGATCGTGGGTTCACTTTCCCACAAGCAGCAGGGTGAGACACTGAACCTTTAACGTCAAATAATATATAAATAATATATTCATGTTGCGTTGTTGGAGGAGCATGGGAACTTATCTACACTGTAGCTACTGTGCATAAGACAATATGTTAATGAGACCACTTTTCAAATAAATTCAGTCCAATTAAAGTTGGAAACATTTTCTAACATATCTTAGTTGATAAGAAAAAAGCCCAATGACGTATTTCCATAACAAGCTTGAAATAAACCCTTCCTATTTCTCCTTATTATAATCAATCTGAGGTTTCTGTTTTAAGGGATGAGCTGCCAACACTCACAAGAATAATTTACCGTCATTTGATTGATTTTGCTAACTTATAACTTAACTTATGAGGCGATATACCTCTCCTCTAGTGAGCGGCCCAGCCCTTCGTATATTTTTCTGTATGTGGCCCTCGGGGGAAAAAGTTTGGACACCCCTTGGTTAGAAGATCTGAGGTTGTGTGTTCGATTCTTGTTCGGTGCAGTAAATGTTATTCATGTTTTATTGTTGGAGCAGCGTGGCACTTATCTACGCTGTAGCTACTGTGCGAAAGACCCCAATAAAGCTTTTGAATCTTTATATTGTGAACGCTTATTGTTTTGTTTGTGAATGCAGGAGCAGAACCTGTGGTCGTCCGCAACCTGAAGCACAGTCTGATGAACGCAGGGCCGGTTTCCAGCGGCGAGTTGGCTGTCAATCAAAACGAGGGTAGCCATGGCGACGGCAGCACGCCACGCAAGAGGACCAAAGTGGCTGTTCTCATTTCTGGCACAGGTGAGCTTTTTTGGGGGGAAAGATGGATAGTAGATTTATGTTCAAGCATTAGATAAGAAGACTGATACCACTCTCATGTCTTTACATGGTGGAGAGGTTGGAATCTGATTTATTGATTCTGTGGACAGGTGTCTTTTATTCAGGTAACAAAGTTGATATTAGGAGTACTTTCCTAAAGGAATATTATTTATTTAACTGGTCTGTGGGAGCCAGAATTCCTGTTGGTTGCAAGGGGATCAAATACTTATTTCCCACAGTTAATTTACTTTGATATAATGTCAATTTCTGGATTTTCTTTTTCATAATCTCTCTCATTAGTAAAATAAACCTACAATTATAGACTGTTCATTTCTTTGTAAGGTGTTAAACTTACAAAATCGGCAAGGGATCAAATACTTATTTCCTCCACTGTATACTATAACCTGTTTTCAATATCCTCCGTTTTGTTTTTTTGTCCCAGGCACCAACTTGCAGGCGCTGATCGAACAGGCCCGACGTCCGTCCAGCTCCGCAGAGATCGTGCTTGTTATCTCCAACAGACCTGGAGTTCAGGGCCTGAAGAGAGCCTCGTTGGCCGGCATCCAGACACGGGTAAACATATTAATAATAACAATAAGATTTGGATAAGATATTTAAAACCATTTTTGCAAAAATCTGCACACAAAAAGCCTGGGTCTAGTTGCTGTTCCCTTAAATAAAGCCCAACTAGTATAGAGGGATGATAGTGTGAAGCAATATGGTTTTTCTTTCCTGGTTTGAGTTATAAAAGTTTTTAGTTGGAAGCAGTAGTAGTTGTATGAAAACATATATATAGACGGTTAAATCCTGAGTGCAAGATCTTACTGATATTTGGAACCAAGAAATCCACACCCAAGCATTTCAATTGAAGGACAAGGCAAGACAATACTGCGTTTAAATAATACCTTCAGGATGACCAAAACTCTTATGCTAATGCTTTTGATCCAAACTCAGGTGGTGGACCACAAGTTGTACGGCAGCAGAGCGGAGTTTGACGGCACCATCGATCGAGTGCTGGAGGAGTTCGGGGTGGAGCTGGTGTGTCTGGCTGGATTCATGAGGATCCTCACAGGAAAATTCGTCAAGAAATGGAACGGTGGGAACTGTCTTTAAGTTTGCACGACTTAATGACGACATCTCGGGTCACATAATTGAAATAAACTATATTATATGATCATGTGTTGTAAGTCATGCTTGTGAGTTTCATCACTTAGTTTATCTAAAGAGACCTTTGTACCATGAATGTACACATGTCTGTTTTGAAAAGGTTTCGGACGACATGATGGTCTTTTACATTTGGTGTGTGTTTGTTTTATTGTGACAGGAAAGCTGATGAACATCCACCCGTCCCTCCTGCCTTCATTCAAGGGGGTGAACGCCCAGAAACAGGCTCTCCAGGCTGGGGTGCGGGTCAGTGGCTGCACGGTCCACTTTGTAGCAGTAAGTACGACACCAGACAAAGAGTGTATATATGTTCATTCTTTATTGTCAAATTGAGGGAAAACACATTTTACAAGTCATCACTGTTATTGCAATTATGGTATTAAAGCTTAATACAGTGTAGTCCTAATGAAATGTCACTTTTAATTAAGTGGTATCGTTTAAAATGTTGCTACGACATCACGTATACCAGACTTGCCTTTTCTGAAGATTTCCTAGTTTCACAGCCGTTGTTTTGTTAATCTTTTTTTCAGGAAGAGGTGGATGCGGGCGCCATTATCGTGCAGGAGGCGGTGCCCGTGATGAGCAGCGACTCCGAGGAGAGTTTGTGCGACAGAATCAGAGAAGCTGAGCATCGAGCCTTTCCTGTCGCTCTGGATTTGGTGGCAAGCGGCACGGTCAAACTCGGAGAAGACGGGCACATCGTGTGGAAATCCAATCCACAGAGTTAAAAAACAAACCCAGATGAATGCCACTTTCCTTCTGTTACCTAAAACTAGTTCCACAAAAGCGACAAAGCATCAAACAAGGTCAAGATGGTCACTTTTTATTGTACTAATACCTGCAAACGGTCCTTTCTTTTTCAAAATGTCATGCTAGATGGAGATAGGTAGATTTTCGTGGGATGCTTAAAGCTTGCATGCATCCATTTAATAGCAGCATTTCAACATCTTGTATGAAGAGGCCTCATACTTGACCAAAATTACATTCCAATGGTTTATTTTTAATCAATGTTAGTTGCACTGGAATTGACCTCCTAAAAAAAGTCATATTTGTAATGCTGATAGAATATATTCATATAATAATGCATCTTTGAATGTCTGTGTAGTTGTTATTTCATCATTAAACCTGCCTGGGTGAATGCATAAAATGATTTTGTGTGGCATTTTGTTTATTTAATTTCACATTAAATCAGAAGGACTTTAATCTGGGTTAATTATTTGCACAAGGTGGAGTTTGAACATGAACATGAAATAGTTTTATTTGCATTATTTAAGGTATGAAAACACTACACCAGTCTGCCAATGCAAGAAGTAGAATATACCCTGGTAAGAAATGAACCAAATACGCCACAAAAAAGATGTGACTTTTTTTGGTTCAACACCTAAATTAATGACTTATTTCATGAGTTTTTCTTATTGCATACTAGTTGTATTTGTATGTAACACTGCCTGTCAGATGGATTAGCTCAGTGTGTCAAAAAAAGCTCTCAGAAAGCATGAGGTTGTCAATTCAACTCCCACCGTGTGCAATATGTTTATCGTTAGATCCAACAGCCAAAGAGAAGAAACCAAAAGGTCTAACAAAACGTATGAAAGCATGTCTCATCATACAGCTCAGAGTGATAGATGTTGGGTTAGAAGATCTGAGGTTTTGTGTTCGATTCTTGTTAGGTGCACTACATTTATAAGTACATTTTCCAAAAAGTAGAAGACAAAACCTCTACAAGACAACTGAGATGTGTTTAGGTGTGACAGCTCAGAGTGATACGAGTCTGGTTAAAAGATCTGAGGTTGTGTGTTCGATTCTTATTAGCTGCAGTAACTTTATACGTCCAATTTCCCACAGAACAGGTACAAAAGGTACCAAACAACTGAGAAGTGGGATCGGTCATGTAGCTCAGAGTGGAAGATGTGTGCTCTGTAGAGCTGAGGTTCTGAGTTCAATTCCTATCTTGGGTCGACCGTAAAGAAAATGACTTTGAAAGGTTATTAAACGTTTCTTTCTTTGAGAATAAATGGTTCAAACATGCAGAGGTTGTGACACAAACACTACTCAGATCTCATAGCTCAGAGTGATACAAGACTGTTCTGAAGAACTGAACCCTTAGGTTCGATCCTCATGAAGTGCAGTGATATTTCCAAATACAACACCCACCCGACGTAGTATAGTTTGTTGAAAATATGGGGAAAAAACAATATAGTATAGTATGTAGAAATGTTTCTATATTTTTACATGTCAAAGATTACTATACTATCTATATATAGATTACTATACTTCCGGGTTACAGGCTCTGATAATGTACACATTTCATACATTCATTATTTTTAAAACATTTTCTGTTGCTTAAACATGTTTTGTCCATGGAAAAAATGTAAGAAATAAAACGGCATAGTATGTCGAAAATGTGAGATAAACTGTTAGCTATTTTAAAAATCAGCATTCATATATAGCCTATAAATAAATGTTAAATACATATAAAGTAAACTAGGTGAGAATAAGACTATGACAACAATTATTTGCCATGGATAGGCCAACTTTAGCAGGCACAATTAATGTTAACAAACTAAACATGAAGATGGTTTATTCTGCCATGGCCCCCCTACAGGATGGTATGACCTGTAGACGCCCCGCCCCCTGCTGGCCAGAGACGCTACATAGGCAAGGTCAGCTGACTGATACGGATGACGCAATGGCAACAGCTCACAACAACTTCGCCAGCTCACGAGATGCACACGGAAGAGTGACTGGAGGGAATAAACAGCGATAACTAGAGTTTCCTGTGATTTAAAAGGTCAGTCAATGGCCAAACGTCCACACAAACTTAACAAATACACATAAGCGAAACAAATAAGCAAACAAACACATAAGCGAACAAATAAGCAAACAAACAAACACGTCCCCGCTGTGTTAGCTTACAGCTATGCTAACGCCGCTACAGTTGCTACAGTCCGGCCGAATAAACAAACCGCTCATTGTCAAATTCACCCGAGTCATGGTCACTTCGAAATAATAAAATACCATGACATTTCATACTTTTTTTTTAATGGACTGTGTGATATTTTCGCTACTGTAGTTGTCAGTTGATGAGCACTTCCGGTTTACAGGCTCTGATAATGTACACACATCACTTCATACATGATTCTCTACATTTTCTCTAGCTTAAACATGGTTTTTCGAGGTATTTAATCCATTTGTGTTGTATGTTTAGCAGCATATATACTCTGTCTGCAGTGGTGTTAGGGTGCAGTTTTAATTCATAGGCGCATTGCCTATCTTGTAGCTATGATGTGTGTGTATAGCTCCACCTGGTGGTCACTAACTGCACATGCTATAAGTCTTTTCTGATATTTTCATTCTATAGTCAGTACCTACTATTCTGACTTCCTGGTGTCTTTTTCTTCTTTTCTCCCCACAGGACTGCGAGGACATTCATCTGACATCAATGAAGACGGTGGCTTCTTGTGTTTCTGAAGAACTTACGGTACTAAACTATGACTATTTCTGATATTGTCGACATACTGTACTATGTCGTTTTTTGGACATACTATACTATGTCGTTTTTGTTCATTTTTTTGGACATACTATACTTTGTTCATTTTTTGCATTTTTATATATTATATATATTTTCATTCTACTAAACTGACGTCATGGTGTCTTTTTCTTCTTTTCCCGGAACACCGAGTGCAAGTACATCTGACATCAATGAAGACGGTGGCTTCTGGAGTTTCTGAAGAACTTACGGTACTATACTATGACCATTTCTGATATTTTAGACATACTATACTATGACCATTTCTGATATTTTAGACATACTATACTAACTTCATGGTGTCTTTTTCTTCTTTTCTCCCCACAGGACTGCGAGGACAATCATCTGACATCAACGAAGACGGTGGCTTCTTGAGTTTCTAAAGAACTTACGGTACTATACTATGACTTTTATGATATTTTAGACATACTATACTATGTCGTTTTTTTTCAAAATGTCTTCTGATATTACTATATTATACTTTTTCATTTTTTATTCACATTTTTCACCCTAATATATTAATCATTTTTTTTCTAAAACTTCTATACTGTGTAGTTTTTACTGACATTTTCAATCTACTATACTGACTTCCTGGTGTCTTTTTCTTCTTTTCTCCCCACAGGACTGCAAGGACATTCATCTGACATCAATGAAGACGGTGGCTTCTGGAGTTTCTGAAGAACTTACGGTACTATACTATGACTATTTATGATATTTTCGACATACTGTACGATGTTTTCTTTTTGCATTTTTCCGGCATTGGTTAGGGTTAGGGTTATGACTTGCTATACATGCTATATTATGACTTTTCGGTCATCGTTATTGACATACTATACTACGCCTTGTCTCTATACACTAAACCGTGCCTTATTTCCACATAAAATACGATGTTTTCATGGGTTAGGGTTAGCTATACTGACTTCATGGTGTCTTTTTCTTCTTCTCTTCCCACAGAGAGTGAAGAGAGGACCCCCCCCCCCATCATCGGCTGCCTATGTTGCTGAAAAACTTGTGGACGTTTTCAGCCTTGGGGAAGTATAGCAGACTTAGCAGCCTTTGGGACTTATAGCAGACTTAACAGACTATCGATGTGGCTGTGAGAGGGTTAGGGGTTAGGGTTCACAGCCACTTAGCAGACCGACTTGGGGCGGTGGCTGGGGTGCCGAGCGCCCCCCCCCCCAGCCACATCAGCCCCCCGACTTAGCAGACTTAGCAGGCCTACAGACTTAGCAGACTATCGGCAGTGGCTGCAGGGCCAGTCTCACTGCCAGGAGTGCAGTGAGAGCCGGCAGCCACCTGTCGGCCGCTTAGCAGACTTGGGGACGTTTAGCAGACTTAGCAGACTTGGGGACATTTAGCAGACTTGGGGAAAAGGCTGCACTGCTATGTATGAATTGTATGAATAAAATGTGAATTAAAAAAAAAGTTTCTTAAAATACATTTGTCTCCTTTGTTCATTTCCAGTTCCTAAGATAGTATCCTATTCACTACTCTCTTACCCTCCTTTCTTCTATTCCCTTAATTAGCATCCTATTAACCAATTAACCCTATTAACGTATTCATTACCCCTTTATCCTTATCCTTATCTACTCTCTGCAACGTATAAGCCTCGAACCTGCAACCTCTGGCCTACCAACCACCCTTCTATCTCCTTGAGCTATCAGACCTGATGACAGTTCTCTGCTTTTACTTGTATTTGACTTCTTCATCAAGGGAAAGACACATTCAAACTCTGCATGGCACAAGACTCAAACTCCTGGGATCTTTAAACCCAGTGGACCACCCAAGGTTTGAACTCACGTTCTCTGGTCTCCAAGACGGGTTCTTATCACAGTGAGCCATCCGACGTGACACAGTTAGATGTTCCCTGGCCTATCTGTGATTTTCACCTCAGGTTTGGACCTTAAAATGTACAGCTCAAGCACCTCTTATTTGACCTGAGACATTATTGTTTCTTAGAGCTTATGTTTTGTTCATTTGGGTTTGTGGACCTGAAAGATGACTGCACCTGAAGAGCCTTGAACCGACAACCTTCAGTCTCACAGGCAGTCTTCTAACGCTCTGAGCCATTTGACCTGACACAGTATGGGAAGGTTTTGAAGTGGTTTTGCCTTTTTATTTGGGATGATGGACTTTAAGAAACAATGTACCTCACAAGGATCGAACTAACAAACGTTAGGTTTCGGGGCAATGTTGTATCTCTTTGAGCCATTTGTTCTGCCTCTTGTCCTTTTCATTTTCTAATCTATTTCTTCACTTTGGTTGTTGGCTTTCAAAAATCACTGCACCTTAAGAGGATCGAACTTAAGACTTTAGGGTTGCTGAGCGGTTGTGTATCTCTTTGAGCTATTTGATCTGAGCATCTGGTGTCTGGTTTGGTCAACTAACTAATACTTCACTTTGGTTGAAAGATTGCAAAATATCATTACATTACATTTAGCTGACGCTTTTATCCAAAGCGACTTACAATTACCGAACCCTGTACATGTGCTTTACGCAACGGACCTGAACTCGACACCAGCGCCTTAATGCCGAGAACAGACCCAATCCGGCCACCATCACATGTACATGAAGACCTGTGCTCCGGGCGCATTTATCTTCTTCATTTTGGGTAAAGCACTTTAAAAATCACTACAGCTCACGAGGACTCGAACACACAACCTCAGACTTTCTAACCTGTCTCCTATCCCTCTGAGCTATCTGTCCTGAGATGATTACGTTTCAAAGAGCTTATGACCTGTTCATTTGGGTTTTTGAAACTTAAAGATTACTGCACCTGAAAAGCCTTGAACCCACAACCTTCAGTCTCACAGTCTGTGTTCTATCCCTCTGAGCCACTTGACCAGTGACTGATACTTCTTACGGATTTTGCATCTGAAAAACCAGTGCAAATAAAGAGGATTGAACCCACAACCTCCAGTCTACAAGGCAGTGTTTCTTCCCAGTGAGCCATTTGACCTGGGCCAATAAACTTTTGTTTGGTAATCTAATTCTGCACTTTGGGTCTTGAACTTCCAAAAATCTATGCACCTCATGGGGATCGAACCCAAAACTTCAGCTCACCTGAGCAGTGTTGTATCACCCTGAGCTATTAGATTGAGACAGTGACCTGTTGTTTGGTAGATTATGTGACAAATAAAAATGTAAAAAAGGAAATAAAATAAGTCATAGTGCAGTCCATCTGAAAAAAACTGTCCTTGTAAGTATGTCACACAATTGTGCTAGCAACATTAGTAAATGAAAAACTCTTCTCTGGGCTTTTTTCACAGCATTTTGGATGTTTTACCTGAAAACCAGTGCAAATAAAGAGGACAGAACCAAGAACCTCTAGTTTTCAAGGGAGTGCTTTATCCCAGTCAGCCATTTGCCCTGGGTCACCTCATGGGGATCGAACCTTAAACCTCAGTTTACCTGAGCAGCGTAGTATCACTCTGAGCTATCAGATCTGAGACTGTCCAACTGTCCAAGACTTTGTTTCAAAAAGGAAATGTAAAAAAAGCAATTGCATAGTTTGTCATAAAGCTGTGCCTAGAACAGTTACCATGGACACAAGTAAATGTAAAACTCTGCTCTTCTTTCATCTGGATGTTTAATATCACTGCTCCCTCTAAGAATCAAACTCACAACCTCTGGTCTCCTGATCCTTCTCATATCACTCTGAGCTAAACGACCTGAGCACTCTGTCAGTTGTCTGGTAGAGAGTTTCTCTTGGTAGGGGTTGTGAAACAAAGTCAATGTGAAGAAAGTCATAGTATAGTATGTAACGGAATTGCACCACCACCAGATGTTAATGTAAAACTGTTCTCTTTGCTTATATGAATTCATTATCTTGGGTGCTTGACCTTAAAAGTCCCTGCAAATGATAAGCATTGAACCCTCAACCTCCTGTCTTCAAGGCAGTGTTTTATCCCTGTGAGCCATCTGACCTGGGTTGACTCTGTGTCGCTTGGTAATCTAATTCTACACTTTGGGTCTTGGACTTCAAAAAACATTTGTACTGGGTGGGTGTTGTATTTGTAAAAATCACTGCACTTCATGAGGATCAATAAATTGATAAACATATTGCACACGGTGAGAGTTGAACTCACAAAGCTAATCCATCTGACAGGCAGTGTCACATAGAAATACAACTAGTATGCAATAAGAAAAACTCACTAATTTAGGTGTTCAGCCCAAAAGAAGTCACATTTCCTTATGAGAATTGAGCTCATAACCGTAAAAGCTTTCATCGAGCAAGTATGTATTAAAATATACTTAGTTTCAAAGGTTTTATTGTCAAGATTCAAGGCCTATCTTAGTACGCTGAAGAGTGAACAATAATGTAATAAAAACAATCACCTGTTAAACTTTATTGCACGGTCATTTTATTTCCAAATGCAGGTTTTTAGGCTTGTTATCACAGCGTAAGAATATAGAAATGAGGCGTAGAGAAGATAATAAAGCAGCAGCCTTGTGGCCTATTAGGGATCATATTTACATAATAAAAACATGGCAAAAAGATGCGTGTGATCAATGCAAATCAATACAGGCGACGCGTGCGTAAAAAATGAACAGTAGGCAACGAAGTGAAACAACGGTCACACCTAAAAAGAAAAACATGCCATTTAAGCGCTAATGCAAGAAGCATTTGAGGTGTGGGTAAAAAATAGTGTATGCCATTAATAACCAAATATTTAAAGAGCAGAGATGAACGTCAGTAGATCACACAGTTCTTCAGATGTTAATTAAAACTGTAACTAGTGGATAATCACATGACCTTAATCTACCAGTACATCTGGACCACATTTGATTAAAGTTTAGATACTAACAGTGACATTAAGGGCCGTTAATTCGTTAAAAAAAGCAAAGTGAAGTTCTAGTTTAAGTCACAGTGTGTGCCCAGACTGCCTTTACACTACAGGCTGAGTAATATATATAAATGCAGTTATTGCAGGAAGTAAGGAAGCAAGTTGAACCCTTAACCGTTTATTAAGTCTACTTCTGAAAGCTGCCATGCTTCGACATTTAAATTTGAGGGCAAAAATAATCAAGTTAAATAAAAACGTCTTTATTGGGGCAATCCAATGATTCATTATTAATAGGAGATGATATACTTGTTTACAATAAAAAAAAAAGGCAACACCAGGTAATTTAAATTGGCCTGATATACCAACACAATTATGCATCAAGACGATCCACCAGTTTGGACTAGAATTGAAGTATTATTTAAATATAAATAAATGTTTTTTATGCATTAAGCGTGTTCCCTGTCTGGCATTAAGCACTAGGCAAAGTTTAAAATGTACTTAAGCCGTGTTTGTTTTACCTAAGCAAACTAATTAAAGTGTTGAAGGCAAACCCCAAAAAGCAGTCATGCATTTAAGGTGCGGAATATCACATCCAACCACAGCAGTGACGTCTCATTTATTTTCCTTGTTGCATCAAATCAAGTCACACATAAGACTCTTCAGCGAATAGGAGCTTCTCAAAGTCTGGGTCGGCGGATGAAGGATCGCTGCATCTCCTCAACCACTCCCTGCGATTCTCCATGAGGGCGAGCGCCACCTGCTGGCCGCTTTGGGGATTACTGCGCGGGTGAGAGGAAAAGTAGTCCCTCACTGTCTTGGTGTCACATGGGGAGAGGCAGAAATGGGACTGTGGTGAATCCACATGGGAGATTTTGAGTCCTGGGTCGCTGGGAAGTCGTGCTCGTGTGAAAGTGGACGATCGATCCACGAGCACTCGCCCAGGTTCAGACCCTCGTCGCTTTTGGAGCATGGCGTCGCATCCTTCTTCCACGGATTGAGACTTGTGTTGCTTGAACAGCGACAAAGAAGGCCTGCTATGCTGGAAGAATACAGATGGAGATGGAGGCTTCATTTCACTCTCTGCAGGGGAGTCTGAGGAGTGGATCCACGGGGAATTTGTGGGGATTTGAAGGCTCCCTGTGGAGCGGTGATGTGTCGGTTGTCTCCCCTTCACATGGCTTCCTCCTCCTGTATCTTTAGAGGATGATATGGGCATGGGATGGCTGATTGAGATCAGTTTTCTTCCTCCCTTTTCCCCCGCTTTTCCTTTCTCTGGTACAGCCTTCCCAGTAAGTCCTGCCTGTTTGGTAGAAAACACAGAATGACATTTTAGTTTAGTTTCTATTCATCATATTGCCTGGTTTGACAGCTTTTTTCACATGGTTTCAAAGTTAAGATACTAACAGTGACATTAAGTGTGAATTCAAACTAAAATCATGGTTATGTTGGCCGTTCTTTCGTTAAAAAAAGCAAAGTGAAGTTCTAGTTTAAGTCACAGTGTGTGCCCAGACTGCCTTTACACTACAGGCTGAGTAACAATAAGAATCTATATATATATATAAATGCAGTTATTGCAGGAAGAAAGTGCTAATTTATATTTATAAGCAAGATCAACCCTTAACCGTTTATTAAGTGCCGTACTTCGGAAAGCTG